CTCCTTCCTAGACAGTCGCTTCCCATTCTGTATGTATGAAACTGATTGTTCCTTCCTAAGTGGAGCACTTTGCATTTGTCTTTGTTAAACTTCATCCTGTTTACCTCAGACCATTTCTCCAATTTGTCCAGGTCATTTTGAATGATGACCCTATCCTCCAGAGCAGTCGCAACCCCTCCCAGCTTGGAATCATCTGCAAACTTAATAAGCGTACTTTCTATGCCAATATCTAAATTGTTGATGAAGGTATTGAAGAGAGCCGGCCCCAATACAGATCCCTGCGGAACCCCACTTGTTATGCCTTTCCAGCAGGATTGTGAACCATTAATAACTACTCTCTGAGTTCAGTTATCCAGCCAGTTATGCACCCACCTTATAGTAGCCTCATCTAAGTTGTATTTACATAGTTTATTGATAAGAATATCATGCGAGACCATATCAAACGCCTTACTAAAAACTAGGTATACCACATTCACCACTTCTCCCTTATCCACAAGACTCGTTATCCTATTAAAGAAAGCTATCAGATTGGTTTGACATGATTTGTTCTTTACAAATCCATGCTGGCTGTTCCCTATCACCTTGCCACTTTCCAAGTGTTTACAGATGATTTCCTTAATTATTTGCTCCATTATCTTCCCTGGCGCACAAGTTAAACTAACTGGTCTATAGTTTCCTGGGTTGTTCTTATTTCCCTTTTTATAGATGGGCACTATATTTGTCCTTTTCCAGTCCTCTGGAATCTCTCCTGTCTCCCATGATTTTCCAAAGATGACAGCTAGAGGCTCAGATACCTCCTCTATCAGCTCCTTGAGTATTCTAGGGTTCCTGAGATAGATCCCCCTACAAAAAACATAGTTCTTATAAATTTTTGCACATAACTAAGGCTTAATCCATGACTCTGATTATTCTCTGATTGATGTTAGTTGCTTGACATTTATCTTAGTCCATGGTACCTTGTTAGGGAAAACAATAATCAAAACCTTATGAAAGAAAGAGTTTAGATTTCTAGTATGAAATGTGCCAAGCACTCTCACTTCAAAAAGAGTGAATGTATGTGTGTAGCAAGACTGTGCAAGAGGGTTTGCAGGCAGCCAGTTGTCACAGTAATTTGGTGGCTCAGTGGGACATACTGTGGTTACAAAATCTGAAATGTCCCTGCACCTTATATTTGAAACCTGTCCTTAGCAGAAATTGGAGATTGAACTGTGAGCATATTTCAACAATAGACCTCTCAAAGTTTCATTTTGTTTTTATTTCTGAAATTGTGCCCTGCTAATTTGTATAGTTAACAATCCAGGTAACTTTTTGCTTTATCTTTAAGACTTTAGGGTTCCCACAGGGAGGAGTGACACTTCCACATACACCAAGGGAGAGATCACATACACTTACAGCCCTGCAACATGGAAGGGATCTAACTGACCAACACCATTCTGCCCTCAATACCTGGCTGGGCCCACAGGACAGACCTGTCTCTCATAGTACCTTGAACAGCATCTTCTGGGGGCTGGTTTTCCACACAGTACTGGAAAGGGGATGCTTGCTGTCATGATTATGAGGGTTAGCCAGCAGCCTGGGGATTAAGGGGTTAACTACACCTAGCCAGGTGGAGTGACCAGTAGGAATGTAGGTGGGACTTTCAAACTGGGACAAAAGAATTTGGGTTTTTTCCTTTCCCCTTTTGTCTCTCTGTGGGAGTTCTCTGCAGCTACAGAGAGGGACAAGCATGTCTCTCTCTCTCTCCAAGACTCCATTCTTCATTTTCTGTAAGTAGGGTAAAGTTTAGGTAGTTTCGTTAGGTTTTATTGTTTTAAGGATTGGGTATGGGATCTGGCACTGTTTAAAAGATGTTTTGGCTTTTCTTTGTAACTAAGTTCTAGGCCCATGGAGTTTCTCCATGAGTATATTTTTTTACCTTCCTATCTAGTCATTATGCTTGCAACAGGAATATTGTTGTAATAATAAAAGTTCTTTCCTTTCTTTTTATTAACCTGGCATTGGTTAATAGTGTGCCCTGATTTTTATTTTAGGGGTGAGATTTCCCAAATGATCTTTCCCCTGGTTTCTTTAGCAACATTTGGGTGGTGGCAGCGGAAGTTTTATTCCCAAGATCTAGGTTTTTAAGATTTTGGGGGGAGTTTTATACCAAAGCCTGGTAGATAAGGCTTTGCGGTACACTTGCTGGTCCCCACTTCTGCATTTATCATGCCAGAGTGGGGAAGGAGCCATGACACTTGCTTTGCCAGGATAGCAAGAGAGGCAGTATATAAAAGTCGAGTGGGTGGGACATATAACCTGGTACTACCTGACACCTGCCTCTGCACACCAGCCACCACAGCTCACAGCCCATGCCAGCCAGAAGCAGGATGAGGGTTGGGGCACTGGTGGCCAAGAGTTGGCACGGATGGCCTAGCAGGAAGAGCAGCCAACTCCCCATGCACTGCATCTTGCCTCTCCACCAGCTTTGCACACCTTTCCCTCCATCATCAGCCACTGGACACCCCGCACACTCACCACTTGTTGGTGGGCAGCTGGCAAGCAGGGATCCAGCCAGCAGCAGAACCCACCAGTACAAATGTGGAGAAGGGGGACAGAAAGTATGGGATAATTTGCCCTTTTAAAGAAAAAGTTGGGACACTTGCAGGATAGATTAAATATGGAACTGTCCCTTTAAAAACAGGACACCCTCTGCAGTTATATGGCAAAAAGTTCTCTATACAATGCTACTGATAAAACCAATACAACTCAGTGTTGACTAGAGGCATACTACTAGATCTCACCAGGTATGCATACCTCTTCCCTGTGAAAAGTCTCCCTCTCCTGCTACTGGACTGTCCTCTTTTACTGCCCCATCAAGTTTTCCCACCAGTTGATACAGGTGGATAACATTTGTCATCTCCAGGTGGGCCAGGGTTAAAGTTGTGCTTATTGTGTATTTCCTGGTTTTCAGGAGTTCTTTGCTAGTCACAATATTTTGTAATGGTGCACAAGACACCACCAGGCAACCTTAATTCTGCTTTTGGTATTGAAGAATATAAATGTATTTTTAAAAATGTGTTAGTTTGGCTGACATGCATAAGGTTTGTGTGCTTTTCCCAGGTCTAAAGACAGCATGTACCATGCCCTTGGCTATAGCACTATTTTAGTAATGCAGGCTGCTATGACCTTCGAGCACCAGGATATCCAAATGGGAATTTCTACAATGAAGGAAGCTTTACATACCTGCCAAAGGTAAGCCTGAAGGAATTTACATTTTGAGAAATATGAATCTGCAATAGGTGTTCTTCAGTATTCACTCTAATTTTTCCCACCCCTGAGCAGAGTGAATTTTGTTTATAAGCACCAATGTGGAGGGGATGTGTGACACACAACTTTTGTATTGATGCACATAACAAAATTATCATGCTAGGAGTGGGTCCAATGGGCTTGGAGTACAGCAGTGGTTCTCAAAATGCAGTCCTTTGACTGCTGCCTTACAGGTGGTCTGTGGCTCAAGTGCAGCCCCACCTCCCCACGCAGTGTGGAGCCCGCTCCAGCTTCTTGCTCATAGGGCACATGGAGGGGAGGTGCAAAGGTGGGGGATGGATTTCCTCTCTCCTAGAGGGGGTGAGGGAGGAAGGGGCTCAAACAGGGAGAGGCTGCAAGTGGAGCCCAGTATGGGGTGTTTCCAGCTGCATGAGCAAGGAGACACTGGAGATTGGGGGAAAGAAGGATTCCCCTGAACTGCGCCATGGGTTTCCCTCTGGCGATGCAAGGCTCAGCTCAGATTCTTCCCATTAGCTCATTGGATTAAGAGATGCAGTGGGAGTGAGGGAGATGAAATGCAAAGGGGCTACAGCTTTGGCTGGGCCATGCAGGAGGCAAAAGCCAGGGGGCAGAAACGCTGCGTGTGTGCTGCTCAGTGCAGCTGGCGAACTCACGTGGGCTCTCGCTGCCCATTTGCCTTTCTCTGGCAGGCACAGTGAGTAGGTTGCAGCCCTGGGCTTGCAAACCACGCTTAGCAGGGGGTTGGAAAGTTTTGACTCCCTCTGCTTTGTAATTTAGATTCCTTTGCACGCACTGGCTGGTGGGCCTAAACCTGGGGGGGAGCCTCCTTCTTCCCTGCCATGAATACAGAAAACATTGAAACCTTTTGTATTGGACATAAATTAATATTTTACTTTATTTAAAATGATGGCTCCAGCATAATTATGTATTTAATGGTGAGTTGCCATTAGCAACTGGTGGTCTGTGAAAAGGTTTACATTGAACCAGGTGGTCCATGGATCAGAAACTTTGAGAACTACTGGAGTATAAGGAGGGGTTCAGTCTTCTGATATATCCATGCAGTGTAGAGGTATCCTTTGATTCATCCCCAGAGCATTTTCCCTTCTGTGCATTGAAGGAGAGGGTCCTCTGGAAAAAACTTGCATAGTCATGTAATTAAAAACAATATCATAATATACATACACAAGAGGGTTGAATTAAGGTTGCATGGGCTCCTAGGCTTCTGTGTATGTCAAGAATGGAGATGTATATTGAGATAAATGTGAATGCCTGTTGAAATTCACTAATCCTATGTTGTCGTGGGTTTTTTTTTCTCTCTCTCTCATGATTGACCAATACAGATTCAGGAAAAGAAGCACAGTGGTAGAGTCTTTGTCCAGTCTGGTTTCTAAACAGTCAATGGATCAGCTGAGTGAAGGTAAGAGAAATAAGAGGCATTTTCTGGAAAAAAAAACCATATATGAATAAACATTTTGTGGGGAAAAAATACAAATAGATGTATTTTGTTATTTAGATTACTTGCTTTAAAAAAAAAAAAGATGGGTGATGAATTTTCCCCCCCCATCCAAATACGGGGACACCTATACCATCTATATGTTTTGTTAGTCTTGAAGGTGCTACTAGACTATTTGTTGTTTTTTAAAGTTTTTTCTGTTACAAACTAACTCAGCTACCCCTTTGAAGCTATAATAACAAAGTTACTCTTTTAGGTGTCCCTTCTGACCTTAAAGTCTATGGCTGTGTCTACATTGGCACCCTTTTCCGGAAAAGGGATGCTAATGAGACACATCGCAATTGCAAATCCGCGGGGGATTTAAATATCCCCCGCGGCATTTGCATTTACATGGCTGCCTCTTTTTTCCGGCTTGGGGATAAGCCAGAGAAAAGCGTCAGTCTAGACGTGATTCTCCGGAAAATTACCCCTTTTCCAGAGGATCTTTTATTCCTACTTGCAATACTTCTGGGAATGCTAAAAAACAACAGGAACACAGTATTACAATTGCTGCAAATACACACACATTAAAAACTCAAACTGATAACCCTTGAAGATTACAGGCAGTCCCCGAATTACGTCGGATCCCTACATACGAACGGGGCTT